TCTTATTCTTTAAAAAGTTGTAATTAATTCCAACTACATGGCTGAGAACATCATCTTTCTTATACACGCACGTCACGCAAAAACTAACAGAATGACGTGCAAGATGCTCGTCACTCGGGTGGACTGAACCTCTTTGTATTTCTTATTCGTTGTCTGTTGTGTACATAATGTTTGGCTCATGTTTTCATTCATGCAATATGCATTTTATTATTTTTTGTGCGTTTGGGTGGTGGTTGTAATGAACTTTAGCAATCCTTACAGAGGTAGTGCTCAAGACTAGAAACAAATTTACATAAAGCAAATAAAAAAGGCATTCATCTCGCAGACAGACAGAATGGGAGGCAAAAGCAGGACAGGAAGCACATACAAAGTTATTTATAAAGGGTTGTTAGATATAAGAACAAAATCTAAAGAATTTACCATGTAGTCTAAACAGGGTACAATCAAAGAAAAAGATGTCAGACACCAAAGAGATCAGATCATTAAGGACGCTAGGCATACACTCTGTCTAAATAAAAATAAGTCAAGAATACATGGTGGAAAAAAGCGGAAAACAGCAAAAGATACTCACGAATAGTTAAATCCATCACTTGAGATGCCAAACAGAAGACAGGATGCTCATACATCTCTCTCTTTTTCCCTACAAAGAGAGGAAGGATACCAAGGCATGCGAGAGGCCAAGATCAGAGAGGATGAGCATAGGAAAGACTGACGGGTAAGGCGGATAGTTTTTGGCATAATGCATGACTTACTAGCCATTGTGACTAATACAACAAAACCATTTTATTTGGATAAGAGTATGAGAGTCACTCAACTAAAGATATTAATTTACAGTATAATGCAAAAGTAAAGTTTGATACCGTCTCTAAATTGTTCTTAGGTGTGTGTGTGTGTCGCCCTGCGATTGACATAACCAGGGTGCCACCCCCCCGAGATAGGTAACCACGGTGACCCTCACGGAGAGAGAGGGAGAAAATGGATGGATGGAACGTATCTTTTGCAGTTGTGATTTCAGTAAGGCTTTGCAGGAATCCTCTGCAAAGATAGATGGCGCTATACTTCTACATTTTGTATCTTCAAATTCTGACTAGATGAACAAGGTGGATTTTTTTGCTGTAGAAATTTTTTGAAAACTTTATTTTTGAGAGAAAAAGTAAGAGTCTTCACGCCTGGGAGCTGACAGGGAGAAGCTACCGATGGACCTGTCTGGATCAGCGGAAGATCGGATAAGTCTGCGGGGAAGCCTAAAAGGGAAACAAGGCTTGGACAGGATACAGCTGGACGAGGGTTGGCGCTAACTGCGGGAGATGTAGGGAGTGCAGTGGTGGATCAGCGCTGGGCAAACAGTTCCAGAGCGACTCGGTTTCTGTGCTGGAGGTAGGATGACAAAACAGTCCTTCTTAGTCTAAATTAAAACAGATTTTTTTAAAAGCCAACTAAAAACTTCTTAATAGCTTTGTCAACATTATTTTCTATATTTTCAGTTGTGATTAAAAAAAAAAAACTGTCAGGGCAATTTGTAATTATGTCCTGTGGTTTTGAAATTGGCATGTTTATTAGCCAGTAAAATTTTCAACAGGGTTTAAAGAAGAATCATACCTGATAAATGAAAAGGATAACTAACCCAGCTCAACTTAATAAGCTTTTTACAATTTAAGGTTCAATAGTGGTTTTGTATGGAAGCCCAATAGATTCATAATTAAATAAATTAATAAAAAATTATGAAATAAATACAATTTTGATGAATAACAAACAAATATATAATATGGTCATGAAAAAAACCAAGGTAATGTTATTATGAAATATATATTTTTATTATTTAATATCATCTTAATATTATATTTATCATAATTGAATATTTCATGATAATTATTTTCACAATATCAAATATCAATATTTATACAATATGCTTTTTAAATATTTACTTTTTATTTCATTTTCCAAGATTTTGGAAAATAAAGAACTTTTTTCCAAAGTTTGTCTTTATTCCATAATGACATTCTCCACAATGGCCTTTTTTATTTCATAATGTTGTTTTTCAGCAGAATGACCTCGTCTGTCAATCAAAGCAGGCAAGGCGGAGCCAGTTAGGTGATTGGCTGCTCCTTTACTAAGTACCGATTCAAGAGCGGAGACTTATCACCAACTGGAGGCCAGGAGTTAGCGGCTCGTTAGCGATGAGATGGCAGCTGGAGAGAAGTCAGTCGCAGAATTGCTCAGAGACGTTGCGAATAACGCGAGTAACGCGAATCCTGCACCTCAGCCTGAGAGAGGAGCTCTGCAGCACCGTGTTTCTGACCAGGTGGCGCCTGGACGTTCACCTAACAGTGCAGCATCAGCGTTACAAACTGCTCATGCTAACGCGGCTAACCAGACGCCACGGATCTAATCGATCTTAAAGGACCCAGCGGAGGTCCAACCCCTTAGCTTTGATTGACAGACGAGGTCATTCTGCTGAAAAATGACATTATGAAATAAAAAATGACTTTGGGAAAAACTTTTTTATTTGAAAATGAAATAAAAAAATTTTTTTTTTTTAAAAGTATGATATTATGAAAATAATTATTATGAAATATTCAATTATGAAGTAGATACTAAAGAATAGCTATATGTATTTCATAATAACATTACCTTGCTTTTTATTTCATGGGCATATTATATATTTGTGTGTTATTTATCAAAATGGTATTTATTTATTTTTTTATTTATTTAATTATTCCATAGTTTTGTTGTTTGTTTGGTTTTTTAAGCTTTGTCTCCTGTATGGTGGTAGCCCATATAATGTGTAGGTGCAAAATATGCAGTCATTTACGTACCGGAACATCAACTATGCAGCAAGGGGTGTCCCAGTTCCCTGAGAAGATTACGAAGCCCTATCTATTGTAGTTTCCAGTATGTGTGGGTTGTGGGTGATGGCAGGGAGCAGGAGATAATGGTTGAAACTGGTTGCGTATTGGGATTGGTCTACTTTTCAGACTAGGTTTCTGAATACGAACAATTCCGATTCCGTGTTCGGATACGACTCTATTGATTCCTGATTCTGATTCTTTTAAAAGACTCATAAAAGTTGACAATTTATAAATGATCACTTGTGACATCGGCTCTTATAAACAACAGAAGGTACACAAAGGAAGAAAAGGTGCATTTATTCAGTGATGGAGAAAAAATAAAGAAGTTATTATATATAGAAGATAAATACTGCAACGATTTAATGAGCTGCTTATCCAGAGTTTGGTCTGGATGAAATGCTCTGAAACTCTAAATAAAATGTAATCCCTTGAAGATTTAAGTTGGTGTGAATGTTACTATAAAAGATCACATCATTATGTTTAATCTAGGGCTGCAACTAACGATTATTTTAAAAATCGATGAATTGGCTGATTATTTTCTCGATTAATCGATGAATCGGACAAAAAAT